AGGCTCTTTCCTGCCTGGAGGCAGACCACCTATGTGCACTGTGTCATAAAAGGCGGCGGTCATGGCATTTTGCCAGGAACCTACATCTAACCAAGAACTGCCTGCAAGCCAAATGGCCTGAGGTACCAAGCTTGTCCAAGAATCGCAAGGACTACAACTTTACCCGACTGATCACGATTGGTTTTGATCAAGCCTCTTCTAACATACTGGTCTGTGTGCTCAAGGGCGCTGTACAGAAGAACGTATACCAAATTGAGAAAACAATAGCCCACTCCTTAAATGTGCGAGTGGGCGGGGCAATGAACATAATGAACAAGCGGCTTTGAGCGACAGACCCAAAAGGACCCGGGCACAATGTTAAGGACCCTGGGCAATAGAACAGAAGGAAGCTAGCCGCCTGTATCGGACAATATCGGACATGTCGGTGGCCGCAACGAAAGTGACAACGAAGACTATGCAGAAACGGCACTGTGCAAAAATCGTCTAGAAACTGTGCCCTCGATCAAAGGGTAATGATGGGTAATAATGGGTTCTTAACCAAACCCTTTGCGACAACAAAGCTGTGTAGATCTCCACCCCTGGGGCTTCCCACTCTGGGCATCGGGGATGCTTCTGTGCTTGAGCCTCTCAAGCAAGAATGAACTCTGGAACATTGCACTTCGCTTGCACTGTTGAAGGACACGTCACGTCCACTTCCTACAACGACAGAAGACCTCGCAAGCAAAAAATCCCAGCCCGCAATCCTATTCATCCTGTGCCATCTTTGCAAGGTCCCACAGATTGAAGTCGAAATGACCTGATGCAAGCGATTCGGAGTTTCGCATGTCTAACACTGCTCGGCAAACTTGCTCGGCAGTTCTGTGGTGTTGCTGCATAAAGCTGCCAGGATTCATCGATGTCGGCAGCAAGTCAAACATGTTCACCTGATTTCACACACAATGTGAGCCGTGTGCAGTCATCCAGCGGGGAACCGCTTGTAGGACCTCTTCCTGAAAAAGAACCGCCATCCCCATTGCAGACTACAGCACCGGCACCAGTCCAAGCGACTGTCGCATTGATGATCGAAGAGGCTCCCATGCCGAGTGAGTTATCTACAGCACCGGCACGCATTCCGACAAATGGATTCACAACGCAGCTTCAAATAGCACATGGTGACCCAGAAGTTGCTGCAAGCGGCAAAGATGCACTTACAACGCACTTCTGTTTTCCAGCCTGATCTCATGCAGCTTGCGTCACTGCAAGACTGTCCAGGCTGTAGAAACTCAGTTTACCTGTCCTGCGTTATCAACCAGGTGTGCTGAGAAATCAGCATCACTCGTGCATCCACTTCCTCATGAGCACCTTAGCCAGTTGCCTTTCATATGAAGCTCTCGCCGCTATGGGAAGCGGATGCAATTCAAGACTATTCCGAATTGCTGCTCGCATAGCGTTGTTCACCGATCAATGCAGACACAAGTGGTCCAGTCCTTACGGGGAATCCCTGTCAAGCCCCCCGATGTCTGTCTGTCTCTCGTGCCCACGGCATGCCGAGCTTGCAGCGCACGAGAAGCTATCCCTCCGCGGCTTGCGTGTAATTCCGCCCAACAGACCTGAACAAAAAAAACAAGGTGTGGAAAGCACAGGTCGAACCTTTCACAGGATGTCGACGCCTGGAAGCAAGCTTTATTTTTTGGCCAGCCGCGCATTTATCAGGGCCTGGAAGCGGCTGCATCTTGTGATAAGTGCAGTTTGCTTCATATACCAATAGGAACTGTCGCAAGCGCATGAAAATGCCAGTTCCCGCCCAAAACTCCTGCAGATCACTTTGGTTCGCGTCCTTGACAAGCTCCTGCAGCTGCCACAAGTTATCCCACTCTCGCAACCGGATCAACTGCAAACATGACTTTGGCCTTCATCCTGTTGCGCTCTTTAAGATCGTCCTGCCAGGCATGTGCCACGCTTGGAGAAGATAGCCTTGTGCAGCACTTGTCCCGAACCTGTGCTTTTTTGAAAATCTCGCGAGCTTCTGCAATCTCCCCCTCCGTTGCCGGCGGGGGCAAAGCATCACTGCCCTGGGCAAGCGATGTCTCGAGAAGGAGACAGAAGACAAGCACGTTCTGCTTGCAGCATGCATGCACATATGCCCTGAGCCTCGCTTTCATTGTCCATATCTCGTTGGGCCTGCTCCCATTCAAGTCACACGAGATACACTGAGCAACGGCCAGCGCTGCCGCTGAGTAACTTCATCTATGCGCTCCATTTCCGCCATCTCTGCTGCCATCATCTCTTCGACATCGTCCCCACCTTTCTGCTCCAGTTGCTTTTTGGCAATCGCATCCTGCAACCGACTCGACGATCAAATGCATCCTTTACCAACCACAACTTGAATATCTTACATCTTGCGCCGGAAACGAACACCTGTGAAGAAGCGTTGCGTGGTACAGCGCCGTTGCAAAAATTCTGTATTTGAATGTCAGGGATCTAGTGGCCACCAAAGGATACGAGAGGGCACTGAACAATCTCAGCCGAGCAGTTGCAGCGGCTGTGACTTGTCGCGCAGGAG